TCCATGTTTGTAGGTTTCGCTTGAAATTTAAATCATAAGCTGTTTTTGTGACAAATGTTGTAAAGCTTGTAACCAGCCTGTCAATAACAGCCTGTGGAACCTATAAATAATTGTATATCTTGTATATCAGTTGATTTATCTATATTTTCCCTACACGAATAAGAGCTAAGAGCTAAAAGGTAATGTGTTGTTTACTTACATTTTAAGCACCAGATACACAAATATTATTGATGTACTTTTATTCACTGTATAAAACCACATGGATTTTGTGCACGTTGGTTTAGTCACCTGATCGGAGTTGTTCAATGCCACACCGTGTTGAGAGAGGCCAACTCTATACTAAACCGCTTCATCAAAGCGTTTTTTGTGTTCAGTCTTCCCGTGAAAATCTGCCGAAGCTTCCACTCTGTCATGTGACTTGTTGGAACCAGTATCGGCTTCAGGCGTCTTATATTATTTTATAAACATTTTCTTTTTATCATTTGTTCTGTGGCGTCAACCATTGAATTTCTCCATTTTTTTTTTATTTTGAGAAAATTTGCATTGTGATCAATACAAATTTCCCAATGTCTATATTTATCTATTATAGCTAACCATGCTTTTAAATATTTCTAGTAAACAAGCAAGACCTCCGGTGTTTTCTGTCGATGTTTGTTGGGGATTTTTGTATGTGTCTTATTCGCAATACACTGTCTGCTCGGTCGCTTTCAACATGTAAACACATCCCCATACATTAGAAGATTCCCTCTTGTTGATGGAAAATTTATTGCGAAATGTAGGTCATCGACATAGAAAATAGTTAGAGCATAGCCATAGCACAAACGCTCTTGTAACTATCTCGGGTGTATTCAGAGCGGGATGAATCGAATGTTTTCCTAGTCTAGAGATGACCCTTGATGCATAAGAACTGTGATAGTAAGTACATCGAGCCTTACATACACCGCTATTTAGTGACGGGTGAAGACTTCATGAAAGACACAGTTGTCCAAATTGGAAGGGTGGGTACACACTGCTGTGCATGCCTGAAGAGAGAGGGGGGGGGGGGATCGAGAGGAGGGTTAGAGAGTTGGCGTGCGTGGGTGGTGTCCCGCATGGCTGGGTGACGTACAGAATGAAATAAATACAAGCTGAACCGCGCCGTAAGCATACTCAGCTATGTAAAGGAGTAGCGAGTAGGTGAGGTGCGGACCGCACCGGGTGACACTATTTAGGGGGGGGGGGGTGACACCAAAGCAAAAAATAGCAAAATTTTAAAAAATGTTAATTCCACTTAATTTAATAAATTAATTAGTGTTAAATAGTATTTTAAGAGCAAATTTGACAAATCCCGACCAGGGTGGAGGGGAGGGGGGTGACACCATGGCGTAAACCTGCTAATGATAGAGAAAAGCTGTATTTATAACCGTCTATAGATAAAAATCGTTAGTATTATCTGAGCACAGTTTAAAGCAATCGCCTCTGGGGTGTGTGGGGAGGGGGTGAGTGGGGGAAGTTACATTAACTCAACGTTGCAAAATATGCCTGAAGTAAACGATTTGGTTAAGATTCGTAATAACATAACATGTTAATCCGATTCCATGACAAATGATCTCAGGACAAATGATCTCAGACAAAATATCTTAGACAGACTATCTCAGGACAAATTATATCAGGACAATGATCTCAATGACAAAGGATACCAGGACAAAATATACCAGGACAAAATATATCAGGACAAATGATATCATGGACAAATGATCTCAGACAAAATATCTCAGACAGACTATCTCAGGACTAATTATCTCAGGACAATGATCTCAATGACAAAGGATACCAGGACAAAATATACCAGGACAAAATATATCAGGACAAATGATATCATGGACAAATAATCTCAGACAAAATATCTCAGACAAAATATCTCACACAAAATATCTCACAGCAAAATTTTAAAAGTTTTAAAAATAAACCGGAAGTGATCTCCCCTAAACTTTCTCCAATATTCTAATATAACACTACGGGGGATGGCAACTCGGGACATAGACAATATTTTAATCCGTTTTTAATTACATAAATTTTTTATAATATAATAGAATCTAGTAAAAAAAAGAAATGCACTCTAAGTGATCGCCAAAAAAATTTGCATAATAGTGCGGGATATTAATAGTACTTTATAAATTCACATGCGTTTTTTTCGAAATTGGAAATTGCGTAAATTACTACTTCCGGTCTGCGTAAATTACTCAGAAAAAATCCACATAATTAGAACTTTTACTTACATGTGAAATTTCATTTATCTATCTGAAATAGTACTCAAGTTATGGGCTTTTGAAAAATTCAAAGTAGAAAAAGTTCCACTTCCGGTTATCGGAAATCAAAGGTGATACGGATCTACGATTTTTATATAATACTTATATATTTTCATCAACCTAGCTGTACTGGTACTCAAGTTATCGTGTTTACACTTACACATACAGACACACATACACACAGACACACATACACACACACAGACACACATACACACACAGACACACATACACACACACAGAGAGACATACGGACAACATTGCAAAACTAAGTTTTTCCAACTCAGGGAGCCCTAAAATGTCAAAATTTGCATAAATCTCGATTATTATTGTTTGCACGATTACAAGACTTTCACTATAATTCGTATACACGAGAAAGTAAAAGCGATAGATTGTGGATGATATGGTGTAATATACTCGTTCATTAAATTGAATCAGGCGCGTCTGCGATTGACGCCCCGGGATATACTGAGAGTACTATGGCGCCTAACTTAGTTTAAAAGAGCACCCTACAAAATTAGCACGACGTTTGATGATTAAACAGAGCCAGGGGCCATTCGTGGCGCTAGTGCGGGATTGTAACCGAGGGCTCCGAGATTACCTCGCTATTTCACTGACAATCAGTCTAGAGATTCTAGATCTAGATCTACGGAAAATCTAGACTTAGGACTTAGACTCTAGAGACAGATCTAAATCTAGATTCTATCTAGATCTAGTTTAACACATCATGGTTACCATGCAAGGGGGATGAATTATAAGTTATAATTTATTGGGTTGCGGCCCCTATGTGACCGCAAGTGTTGGTGTAGTTTTTTATTGATCTTCTGTGAGCGATCTTCGTCCCCGTGTTCTATGTCACGTGACCTTTGGGACTCTGGGTAGTTCGTACCTGTGTCCCTGTTATTCATGTCCCAGGCTGTTAGGGGTGTACGACAAATTCCCGAAAGACACTTCCCCGAATGACGTTTGCACGAAGAGCGATTTCTCTAATGGACACTTGCCTGATTGCGACAAATGCCCGAATGGACACTTGCCCGAATGCGACAAATGCCCGAAATCTACTTAATTCTTAAATCTTTAATTAGATTATTTATTTGTACTATTCTTTTCTAGTGCTGCATGTTGCAGACTAGGTATGAAGTATCTTAGTTAGATTACTTATTTGTATTATTCTTGCTAGTGTTGCATGTCAGGTGGTGCGGAAGGCAAGCCTGGTGAGAACCCACGGAAGCGAAGCGACCGACATGCAGTGTTGAAACCAACATCTTTGTGAGGCTGCCATTAGCCCACACCAAGCCAGTAAATTGGAGCTCACTGCATCGAGGCCGTTCTGGCTTATGGGAGTCTAACTCCTGAGCCGGTGATCAGTGTTTTGTGAGTGCTGCATATTGCGTACTAGTAAGGTTAAGTATTTATCATTGTAATACTCATGGTACTTGTTGGCAGTATTGTGTACTGGCCGTCACCTATTTTAATACACCCGTGTATTTGTGCAGCCTACACGTGGGAGTATCTTCAGTGATGTAATTTATTGTTTACATTTGTTTTAGGGTTACTGTTCTACATAGTCGTTTATGGCTTGGATGTAATTGACTAGCTGTATACGGATTTGCAAATAAAGCCAGTATCTAACAATAACAGCGTCATTTCGTCGTGTGTTATCTCTCAGGGTCAGCCCTTTTATACACAACACCTCAGTGGGTAATATCGTCCCTACTGAGACAGTGCTACGCTAGAATCTATTCCAATAATAATTTTCTATATCAAACTACTTCAGGACCTTACATATTTTATAGAAATCTTTGTTTGTTTAGCTATGGAATTGGCTATTTTTTGGGCTAAAATTTAATGTGAAAGAATAGTGCCTATTCGCGTAAGGTAAGTTTCTTTAGTAACTCTTTTATTCTTCATTATTTCTAAAGTGCCTAAATAGCTGAGATGATAGTGTTATTGATACCATGTGTGTGGTCCGAGTTTGAGACTCACCAAGTAAATCTTAATTATTTTTTTCAATAAATTTGTTTTTTATATACAAATGATAAAGTTGCCTATCGGGACTTGCGCGGGACACGAGGCGGGTGAAGTAGAGTTCACCTCTTTCTGCCTTTTCAGCATATGAAGTGATAGTGTGGTCAGACATATGCTCTGCCGAAATATGTGTTTTTTAAGAGACAAAAGCAACAAGATAGCTACCACTGAACTACCTCTTAAAATATTTCGTTGGACTTTCTTCTAAGTAGAGCTCATATGTTTCTCACCATCGGCATATCAAGGGATAATGTGATTAGCCCTATGAAAAGACGCCTTTACTTTACCTTGCGGGTGGTAGGTACCCAACACAGTTGGGTGTATTCAAGGGCTAGTATCTTATAAAAACATTTATGACAAAAACGATAACATTTGTAGAAGTATGGTAAGTATTGTATGTGTAATGTCTGTATTGTACATAGCGAGTTGCAAAAAAAAAAATCATTATCTACATATTTGCTAAGTTAATATGTCCAAAATGGTTTACCCTTTTTACCAAACTTGCCACTCCCTTCTTAACATTTTTTGTCACTAAACTTTGACTTGCAAACCTGACAAAAACATACACTCCAACGGCTTTTTTTTGGTTACGTCACTTACATTCTTTGCTCAAACTTATGTAGTTTTCTTTATCGAAAACAAATTTTAAAAAAGAAAACAAGAGATGAAACGATTAAAGTTTAATCAATAAACAATAATCCTTGTCTTTAAATTTTCCTGAAGTTCATAGTTCAACTCCCACCTGGAGACAGGTAGAATATTTTCTTCAGCTACGGCACCAACCAGATCAACAGGTAGCCTTGAGAGGAGCCTCTCCTCCACCAGTAGAATAACACGGCCTGGGTTAGCTGGGGACACGGTGCAGAGAGCCATGTTACAGATTAACTGAAAACACGCGTCATCCATAAAGTCCTCGCTGATAACAAGGATAATGCGCCAGCTTTCACTCATCATACCATAACCTTCAAATGTTGGATGTCCAGGTGTGAATTCACGGGCTGTCTTAACCGTAGACAGTCTTAGTCGGTTCTTTAAAAAATCTTGTAGCTCATCAACAGCAAATCTGTCTCCCTCATATGAACTTATGAACACGTTAATGGGAAAATCCGTTATACGTTGAAGTGTAACTGTACCAAGCAGCAGAGCTATTTTAGACATAATGTACAATTTAAACCTCATAAAAACAAAAGACACAACGAAGCTGATTATAATCAAGCAAAAAATAACGACAGAAACAAAAAGAGATTCCTTTCCCCAGCACTGACGCCAAAACGTCTCCAAATTGAGGTCTGTGTCTAGACGCACGAACAGGCCAGACTCGTCAACACACGTCAAGTTTGAGCTGAGGTCTATGGTCACGTGTGTTGTTAAAAGCCACTTCACAAAACGGAAATTTCCACATCCACAAGAGAAAACATTGCCGGCCAGCCTCAAACTGAATTCCTTGAATCTAGCTGCAAGTTTATCCAGTTGGTTCGTTACCTTCTCATCTAGTGTTGTGATGGTGTTCTCACTGAGATCCAGAAGTTTTAGATTTGGTGTATGTGTCAGGTCAAACGGAACTTCAGTAAATCTGTTTGTGGCTAAATAAATTTCTATCAACTCTGGATTGTGGGCGAAAGTATCTTTAGAAAGATATCTTAAAGAGTTTAAGGACAAGTCAATCCGTTTCAAATTGTTTAGATTCTGTAACAACCTGTAACTATTTGTTTGGAAGTAGTTGAGATTAAAGTGGCAGTTAGCAATCCCTAAATTTTCAACAGACGACATATAATCTAAAAAAGATGTTGCCATAGTGGATAAATTATTTCCTGAGATAATAAATGTCGTCATCTGATCTAATCCTCTAATAGGACCGTTTGCCCTTGCAACCCCGTTATCAGAAACATCAATAAAATCAAGATGATTTCCCCCTATGCTAATGGATACATCAATATTCCACGAGGTGTAAAGTCTGTGAATTACTACGTGTCTTAAGGATTTCGAAAGGTAATAAATAATATCTTTTTCTTTATGATTTATCATAGAGCGGTCTTTGGCTTTTCTTGCAACTGTATTTTTGTTGACATTTACCGAATTATCAGTGTTAATTAACACGCTCCGGTTTATTGTTTTTTTGTTGGTTTTTTGTGCAGTCTGTACGTCAGAGGGCTGTAAGATATGTTGTTCGGTTATTAAAGATGGTTCGATAGAATTTGTTTTAAATTTCTGTGGAGTTGTTGAGCCATACAAAACACTTTTAACAATTGCGACTTCCAGGCTTCTCAGCGTGAGTATCCTTACCATACTAGAAGTCTTTCCAAGCAAAGGATTTTCTGACAAATCCAAATATTTTAGACAAGAATGCCAAGTCTCACTGACCAATGCGTCTTCAGAGAGGAGGATAAGTTTAGAGTGTGAATACTCGAACCTTTCAACACAAATCTCTACAAGGTATTTTGTCTTTCTGGCATCTATGGTACCGTCTTGTAACGCATGACTAGTTTCACTGTATTGAGAAGTTGTTACTTGGTTGAAAGTTATAGAAGACATGTTTCTACCAACAAGAGGACGTAGCACATTCAAGACAATCTTGTTCGTTAATGAAACATAGTAAATGGTTAGTTTATCTAACAAAGTAAGCGGTGCAAGGGCCATGCTACTAAATCCTGAGAGTCCTTTGAAATAAGATATCTTTAGCTCTGTTAAATGTTTTACGTTTACAAAACTTTCATTAGTGATATATCTTGAAACTCCAGAAATAAATAGACACGAAAGCTTTGTCAGGTTCTGAAATTCTTCTCCTAAGTATAACGTGTCAAAAATGGAAATTATTGAAAGTTTGATTATATTTCTTAGTGGATACAGAAAAAGAAACGAATGGTAACTAGCAGAAGGGATTATTTTCTGTTGAAGGTAAAGTTGCTTCAAATTGATCAGCGGATCAAAAATTGTATCCGGAAAACTTTTTGATGTATAAGACAACACATTGCCCTCTAAGTTGAGGACTTGCATATTTTCTAGACCTGAGAAGGCCATTGGGTTTAACGTTCTCAAGTTATTACCTGCTATACTTAAATATCTTAGTTTGTTTAAATGTTTGAATGACCCGTTTTCTAATTCTTTTAAAAAATTATTGTCTAAAATAAGAATGGTTGTGTTTACAGGAAACCATGATGAATTGATGACAGTCAAGGATTGGCCTGCACAATCTATTTTGACGTCAGTGCCGTTGACTGTCTGATGACATGGTGTTTCTGTAAGCTTTGTTGTGATTGGCTCTGCTACCATTTGTCCAACACAAACAGAAATAAAAGCGACCAAACAAGCACAGCTTGACTTAAATAGCATCCTAGTTGTTTTCCTCTTTGTTGTAACGTTGGTCTGCAATAAACAATTTTGATTAAAATAAAAGCATATGAACATGATTTTACAATAAATTCTAAGTACACGATATTTATATATATATATAATTGAAAGTCTGGAACGTAAAAGTAGTTGGACATAGTGCTATAATTTAATGTATATACGTCCCTTGGTTAGATATACTTGTCACTTTGTACAATATATACGTCTCATGGTACAATATACGCGTCACTGTATACAATATACTCGTCAAGTGGTACAATATACAAGTCACTGTGTACAGTAAACATGACACCTCATAGGGTATACATTTCACTTGGTACAATATATACACATCATTTGGAGAGTAAACATTTTCACTGGTTAAGAGTATACACGTCACATGATATACTATACCCGTAACTTGGTACAGTATACACATGACAAGGTATAGTATAAACAGCACATGGTACAGTATAAACGTTACATGGTATTGTATACAAGTCACTTGATACATATACATAGCAACATGGTACAGTTTACATGTGAAATGATACAGTATACATGTCACATGGTACAGTATACATGTCACATGGTACATTAACCAAGTGACTTGGAACAATGAACTCATACTTTGGAGCTGATCTATGCAACGTTTACACGTCACTTTTACCAATGTAAATGAAACTTGACACTGTGAAAAGTTTACGTTGTACAATGTTGGATTCATATTAAAAGTTATGGTAAATTATCATACCTAAACTGAATACATGTGCGTACATTTCGGTACCTTAATAGACTTTTAGCCTATGAATAACGTGAACGGTTCAACAAATCAAATTCATATGGAAACGTAAGATAACATGGAAAGCACAAGCGTTCATCTGATAATGCAAAAAAACTTTGGAAACCCCACTCAAGCGAAACTGCTATATTGACTCTAGTTGCGCGGGTAAAATTACAATTTGTATTTAGATTGTGGGTTTTTTATAACATTAGTGGATGACATGTGGCGATAACTTTTCAAAGCATGGATACGGTGTCTGCTAGAAAACGTTTTCAAAGAAAAAAAAACATTTAGAAAACCCGCTCGGTTAAACCTGTTCAGTTGCTTTTGTTGTGTTCAGCTTGTAAAAGAACATTAAAGCATTCTATAAAAAGCGAAAATGGAGTTAGTGCCTATAGAATTATCTTTCAGTCAATGACTTAAATAGCCGAAGAAACATGTTTTTTTTATTTGTGTTGACGGGGATTAGGATGGGAATTAGTGGTGATGTGTATGAAAGGTGAATACGTGGAACGGGTCACTGCGTGTGTGTATGTATCAAGTAGTGAGCCGCGAGGCCGGGTTTTTTTACGTGTGTGTTGTTGTACGGAGTGAACTAGGGTACAAGGGAAGCGACTGGTCGGGTGACAGCGGCTGTGTTGTGAGAGAGAGAAAGGTGGTGTGTAGGGATGAATGCGGAGGACAGTTGAAGGTTGGGGGTGAAAGCGAGGAGGTTGATTTTGCGACTGGAGGCACGGGAGATAGAGAAATAAAGAATACTGTAATAGCCTCAATCGTGTTGTGCATTCTTTTATAATAGATTGACGACAGAAGCCTGTGGTTGTATATAATACGTTTAATTGGGTCTAACTACACCACGATGGTAACACCAGAGAGGACGGCAGGAAGTACACAAGGGACATCACTCAAGATAACAATATTATAAATATAACTAATACAGAAGAGTGAGTTCCCTTGACCTCACAATTATTTCAATCTATTACATCCCTTTACCCTTAGAACACAATAACACATCTCTCAATAGAACAATTGATAGTATCCTAAAATCACCAATTATATTGTAACATGAACACTATGGTAGATTACATCCTTACAAACAATGCACAATATGCTACAACATAATCAAAATACAAAACAATAATGTCAAAGTCCTTTTGACCTTTAGAATCATAGGTCTAACTTATTTGGGACTTTGATTGTCCTGCTTGACCTTCTCAGTGGCTTCTGATTTGGTGACTCAAGATTCTGACCATCTGGATTCTCTATCTCAGGAGGTCTAGGATTTAAATCATTAACTCCAGAATTTACATTTTCTGACTCCAGACAACTTGGTTCACTCATATCAACAGAACTTGGTTGTGAAACAAACTGAGTTGGTGTGAACTGATCAGACTTGGTGGGATTGACAGATTCACACTTATTATCTGCACAAGTTATTTTTAACTTTATAAGACACAGGTCCTGTACATTGAACAATTTGACCTGGTATCCATTTTTCCTTTCTCCCATAATTTCTTAGATACACATTCTTATTAACACCAAATTCTCTTTCAATGAATGTTTGTCATGATTTAATGGAACTATTTTTGAATTGGCATCTGAAAGTATTATGCTATTATTCAGATCCTTAATTGACATAGATTTCTTTGATTGATCAATTTTCTCAGGTAATCTGATAGTGCTTTCCTGGTAACCAAAAATACTGTTTATGAGTAATATTCTGGACCATATCACTTTGCAACTGTGATCCAGTATTTGAAGTGGGTGTATTAAATGGCAAAAATCTTTTTTCTTTTCTTTTGATGTTACCCTTTTAGTTTCTGTAAGTGCTAATGATGTTAGCAAAGTTGTTTGATGATCACATTCCTTCTTACTAATGCATTCTCTTTAAAACATTTGAAATTGCCATATCACCATAATCATTTATTAAGTTACAAATACTTTGTTTAGGTAACTCTGACTGATAATGGACTGCATCTTCTCCATCTTTTATATTATCTTCACAAAGGTTTTTATTTCTTATTTTATATGGTCTTAAGTCATCATTCACAGACTCTTCAGGCCAACCATTCTTACAGTACTCATATACTTTTATTAAGCACTCATCTTTTGTGTTTCTCTTTCAATATCATTCACACCCATATTGGAGCTATCCATGACAGCGAAGAGAACAAACACATCCTCTGGTACATAGCTCAGGCTTTGGTTTTTTAAAGGTAATCTACTAAGACTATCTGCACTATTCTCAGATCCAGGTTTGTATTTCAATTCATAATTGTATGCAGTTAGTGTGACAGCCCATCTTTGAATTCTTGGTGAGGCATGCTCAGGTAGGGTTTTGTTTTCTCCAAATAAACCTAGCAATGGTTTATGATCTGTAAAGATGGTGAACTTCCTACCAAACAGAAACTTATGAAATTTCTTAACACCAAAAATGATGCCTAAGCCTTCCCTATCTAACTGAGAATAATTTTTCTCAGCCTGATTCAAAGATCTACTGGCAAAAGCAATGGGTCTGTCACCCTTCTCATCCATGTGGGACAAGACTGCTCCTACACCATCTGGTGAAGCATCACATGTTAATATAAGTCTTTTCCCTGGGTCATAGTGAGTTAGTAAGGTGTCAGCAGACAAAGCCTCTTTTGCTGTATTAAAAGCAGCTTCTTGTTGTTTACCCCAGTGC